GTACGAGAGTGGGCCCTAGACTTCCTTGATCTGAATGGTCCTTCACGTTTTGGGGCGATCTTCCTGGATGGGTAATTGATCCGTAGGTTCTTGCCTTCTAGCCAAACTTTCTCTCCAACTTCGAATGGGGTGAATCCTTGTCGGCTTCTATCGATCATCTTCTGTCGCGCCAATTCGTGCATGGCGATCGCTTCTTCCCTTGCAGCTTGTAATCGTTTAAGCCTTTCCTCTACTGATGGTAGCTCCGTATTGATTGTGACTGCGGGTATTGCTCGCGGATGATAACCCATCATGAGGTAGAAAGGCGATTCGTTCCTGGCTGAATGGGATCGTTGATTGTGAGCAAATTCCGCATCACAGAGTACTTCAGCCCATCCGTTGGGATTGTTGGCGCAGAATATCCGCAGATAGGTTTCCAGTTCTTGGTTGACCCTCTCAGTTTCGCCATCGGTTTGAGGGTGATAAGCGGTGCTGAACTTGGATTTGATGCCTAGCAGCTTGCACGTTTCTTGGAATACTTTTGACGCAAATTGAGGTCCTCTATCGGATATGATGGTATCAGGTAATCCGAATTGTCTGTAGACATTCTCATGAAAAATTTGAGCAGTCTTCTCTGCATCGATTGTCTTGTGACATGGCACCAAAATTACCCCCTTCGTTAGGGCGTGGTCTACCATGACCATGATTGAGTCAAAACCCTTGGATGGTGGAAGATCGGTTATGAAGTCAGTTGAAGTGACAGAAAATGGATGTGTTCATGTTGGGGCAGGGATGGGGTTCAATGCGGGTGCTGAAGGATGAGTGTTCACTTTGTTTTGTTGACAGGTAGCACAACTGTCAACATAATTGCGGATGAAGATGAACATTCCTGGCCACCAATAGTCTCTTCGAACCAATTCCAGTGTCTTGAAGCGTCCTGGATGTCCAGCAGCAAGAGAGTCATGGTACTGAGACACAATTTCTCTGCGTAGATCTTGATTGGCTGGTACATAGATGCGTCCTTTGAATTTTACAAGCCCTTCTTCGAGTTTCCAATCATTGAGTGAGGATCGAAGGGGAAGGGGTGATCCTGTCTTCAAGGCTTGCAGAGCATCGCATACCACCAAGTCAATCTCAGTTGCTTTAACCATTTGATCATGTCGTTCTATATCAATGGCTTGGATTTCCAATGGCCTGTCTGTCAGGGTACTTTGTTCTTGTCCGTCTAGACGTGGCCTTTTGTCAGTGGGAATCCAGTCGTTGTTGACCATTGGTTCATGTGTCCGCTTGTTCGTGATCCTTTCTGCTTCCATGATGTTGGCCGGGTGAATGTCACCTTGCAGGTCAGGGTTGTCGATCCATTCAATCGTGGGGTCGCCATGAGAGATCAATGTTGGATCAAGCTTTGATTCAGTTGGACCTTCATTTTCCTTTGTCATGGGTACGTTTTCCATTGGGTCATCCTTGAATTCCACTGGGCTTGGTTCAGACGGTGTCATTGGTATATCCTGCTTTGTTTGAATCTCTAATCCCTTCTCCAATTTAGGCGTAGGAGATTCGCTCATATGTTCGTCTTGTGCTGGAGTGGCATCTCTATGGAACATTTGCTCTGGCAATAGGACCATCTGGTCATTGTCTTCTTCGTCAGGACACAGATCTGGTCGTCTTGAGAGTGCATCTGATTGCACCATTTGTGGTCCAGGAATATGTTTCAAGATCAGATCAAACTTGGACAGATATAGTGACCACCGAGCTTGTCGTCTAGTTAGGCGTTGTGCTAATCGATAGTACTGCAAGTTCTTGTGATCGCAGTAAACTGTGACTGGATGGGGTGCGCCTTCAAAGTAGTAGTCCCAATTCTGTAGTCCTCGGATGATGGCTAGAAGCTCCCTATCATAGATTTCATAGTTTCATTGAGCCTTGTCGAATGCCTGTGAAATATATCCGCATGGGTGCCAGTCTCCATTTACATCCTGTTGGCGTAGAACTGCCCCCAATGCAAACTTGGATGCATCGGTTTCCAGGATGAATGGTTTGGACTTGTCTGGCATCATCAGCACTGGTTCTTCCAGGAACTTCCGCTTCAAGGTTTCAAATACCGTTTGACATTCAGCTGTCCAGTCCCAAGGATGATCCTTCCTGGTGAGCTCGTTCAATGGTCGAGAGATGTTGGCAAAGTGTGGGATGAAACGTCGGTAGAAGTTGCAGAATCCTAGGAATGACCAGACGTCCTTCAATTTCCTAGGGACAGGCCAACTCGCTATTCCTTTCAACTTGACTGGATCCATGCCTAAGTGGTTTTCCTTGACGATCAGTCCAAGATATTCCACTTCTGGTTGACAAAATAGGCATTTCTCCAATTTGAGGAATAGGTTGTTTTCCCTTAATTGTGCCAAGACCCATTTTGTCCTTTCTGTATCTTCTTCAGCTGTCTTGGAGAAGATAAGGAAATCGTCCATGTATATGATGCGCCATCCTTCGTCAATCATGTCTTTGAATAATTTGTTCATCATTGACTGGAATGTTGCCGGTGAATTGCATAGGCCAAAGAACATGACGGTTGGTTCAAACAATCCTCAATTGGTTTTGAATGCTGCTTTCCATTCGTCACCTTCCTTGATACAGACATTATTGTAGCCTTTGCGGACATCCAATTTGGTGAAAACCTTTGCCCCTTGTAGCTTGTCCAAGATTTCGCTGATCAGGGGAATCGGATAGGCATTCTTGACTGTCCATTCATTGAGATACCGGTAGTCTTGGCAAGGTCGTACATCTCCATCCTTCTTGCCTACGAAGAAGAACGGTGATGCCATAGGGGATTTAGATGGTCGGATGTAGCCTTTTGACAAGTTTTCCTTTAAGAATTCGTCCAATTTCTGTTGCTCTAGTGGTGACATGGGATAGAGCTTCTGATTCTTTGGAACGAATCCTTCTTTGAGATCTATTGCATGATCATAAGGTCTTCGTTCAGGGAATCGTTCTGAACTTTTCTTGTCAAAGACGTCTGCGAATTCCTTGTACCGTTCAGGTAATTCCGCTTTGCTTTTGGCTTCCTTCTCAGCTTCTTGAGCCATCCGCATTGCAGGGTTAACCTTCTTGCCAGTGTCCGTTTGTCCAGTGATAAACCGTATGAGGAGATCATCTTCCTCTGCCTTAGTTCGTGCAATTAGGGCGTAGATGTCATCCAATTTGATCTTCCATTTCGGTGTACTTTGGAAGATGGGGTCATCGATGTGCGCCAGTAGTGGTCCTTTGCAATATTGACGTTTGATGGAGAATTCCTCGTCAGGGATTTCTTCGATGGCTACGTTTAGGATGGATTTTCTTTTCCCAAAGTCAATCCGTCCAGTAACCCAGTTGATCTCTGGGTTGTTCTTCTGTAACCAAGGTAGTCCCAATATAACGTCTTCCTTCCCCAGGTCGGTGACCAAAAATCGGACAGAGCGGACTCGGTCTCCAATCTTCATTTGCAAGAATGCCGCTTTGGTGATGAGTCCTTGTCTGTTCTTGGTGCCGTCAACATTGAAGACTTTGATTGGTCTTGGTATAGGGACCGTCTTCAGTTTGTTCGTCAACACAAACTTCTGGTCGATGAAAATTCCTCCAGCCCCTGAATCAATGAGGGCTTCTGCAGTCGTTTCAGTGCTTCCCTTTCCACGTGATAGCAAAATATTGATCTTCATTGACTGGTCAACAGTCTTTGCTATTGTTACAGTAGAAAGGTAGGAGTAAGACGAGCCTGATGCTGATACAGGTCATCTTAAGCAAAATCCTTCTCCGCCATGTCTTCGAGGAGCTTGATCTTGTCGTTCTCTTCAAGTTCTGCCATCATGGCTTTGATCTTGGCGATATTGGAGGTTCCTTTGTCTGAGTCTTCTTTGACTTCAGTAACGCGGACAGGTCGTCTTTCTGGTTGCTTTCCCTTGTCCTGCTTGTGATCGGCAGCCCTGTGGCCAGTCTGACCACAGGTGAAGCATCGCCCTTCCTTCATGTACTTCTCTCTGTCACTGGTCGATAGGCGATCGACATCCATGGCATTGGGGTCTTTAGGGGGAGGCGTGTACTTCGGAGTGACGAAGTTTCTGTTCTGGCCAACTCCCTTGTATCGGTTGATGACCGCTCTTGCCCGTCGATACTGATTGTCGAATCGGGATGTGGCTTTGTACCAGTCTTCGATCGTCTTAGGCATGTGCTCCATGCCATAGACCTTCTCGACTAGCGTGTTCTGGAGTCCCTCTTGGAAGTACTCAATCAGGGATACGTCTTCAGTGATTCCGCATCGTGCGGTCAACATGCGGAATTCCGCGATGTATTCGTCTGCTGTAGCCATCTGGCGCAACACGCTGATAAGCCTTAGGATCGTCTGAGCCCCGAAAACGCGGACTCAGCACATCATACAAGCGCCCCGGAGCTTATTCGACACAGCGCTCGCACGCCTCTAGGCTTCTGTGGGCTCTAAAAGACTTTTTCTATTTAGCTCTGGACTTCCTAACATCCTCGAGGCGTACACGGACCCATTCCACGATTTATCTCCGCCAACCGAAGCTCCGGAGTGACTTAACCAATGCGACTTCTAGCCGAATTAGCTCCGGGACCCGCGGACACTTCTATCGAGGGGTGTCGTCCTCATGCCCACCCTCCAGCACTCACTCCTCCCCCGTTTTCGTCAAAATACCGAAGGTACGGACGCATACGAGTCACCATGAGGTCAGCATCAGTCAGCAAGCGGCCGGAGGTAATTAGCACGTGATCGGCGTGTCGCACGGAGTGATGGGACCGCTTGGGTCAGGTGGCGGAGCGTCGAGGCGACCTATAGGGGCTGGAAAGAGCAAGTGGGAGCGCAAGAGAGTCGTATGGTGTATGGTATAGCGGAGGAAAGTGCTGAGCAATCCTGTGGGTAGCGGCATTTATTTGTTATTTATCTCCGGATGGTCGCAAAGCCATTTCCTGTAGTATAAATTGTACAAAGTAGCGTACAGAAAAACAAGTTTTCGACTTCACCATCTCAGAGAATTAACGTTACGATCTCAGCGACCCGAGAAGTTCGAAAGCGTCGGACTTAGCGACTTATAACCGATCCTAGCTTTGCCAATAGGCCTGACTCTTCGAGAGAAATATCTCCGCCATCGATTTAATTAGCTCCGGTGAGGCTCACATAGCGAAACAAAATTAAACAAGTCTTTCTAGCGTCTTCTACTCCCGTGAGCCCGAACCTACACTCAGTTCCGTGGTTTGCGACTTTGTTTTCGGAGATAAATACTCCGGAGCGTCCATTAGTGTTTGTTTCAGGCTTCAAGGCTTTTGTTTTATTTTTCTAGGTCTTCCTACGGACTACCCTACGGCGTCTTACTCCTCCTTTCCCCCTCAAACTATTAAATACCCTTCAGTTGTCTCGGACCGCCTTCACCCATATCACGGGGTTTAGGTTTATTTCCTTTGGTCCTTGGTGATTGTTGTGTGTCAGTGCATATCACCGGACTGTGGGGAGATAGTGCTAAGTCCGTCCGAGTCTTCCTGGATCTCAGCTGGTAAACATTCCAGTCCATTCGAAGGTGTCTGTCAGCTCCCTTTTACTTGGCTGATATCAAGCAGGTGAAGACGCGCTGATACAAAGAACAACCACATCTCAGTGAACCCAAAGACTAGCTTGCATGAATGGCATCCTTATCCTGACATGAGTATGGGTCATGTTTTGCCATACCTGTGACCTGATGGGTATCAAGGATGCATTGTTTAATGTGCCCTCGAAACCAAAACCTGCAGGTGCCCGCGTACCCGCACCATCAATGTGGGTTTGCACGGGTTCAATACAGGTATGCATTGTGGCACCTGTGGGTTTCCTCCTTCCATTCACTACTATTAGTAGCTCAAACACCAACATTGTGTGGTGGGATGGATGTTATGCAGGGTACGTGACTATTCGTCAAATTGCTTCATATACTTGCCCTGCAGCAATGACTGCAGAGATCGCACACGGAGGCAGTCTCAAGGAACTCCCCAAACGTATTAACGCAAGACCATGTCCTAGAGTTGCTAACAACTGTATATTACTCTTTCAAAACTGGGTCATGTAGATTAGCTATTGGTCATTCTGGATTATGCAGCCATTATACATATAACAAGGATTTCTGTCATCATGCATAATTTTGTCTAAATTATGTCTAATTGGTTTGGGAGGGTTTTCCTGATGATGTATAGCAGAAACTTGAACTCATAGTGTGTCTGTTAGCAGCAGATGGAACAGGGAAGCATAAAATGGTGGCCATAAGCACACCAGACCCAGACACATACACAAACCGAAGGCAAGGTCAATTGCACAGACTAGGGAAAAGTACATCCAGTAGAACAATTACCAAAAATGCGAAACGGTTTGTACCTATTTGTCCCAGTGGCTCTGCATCCAATACCACCAAAACCTAACAGTGTCACATGTGAAGGCTAGACAGCAAGTGTCAGGTATACAACTCCCACTTGGGGGGAGTGGGCCAATGCTGTGCATGGCTGGTTACGAGTCCTGAGGTGGGCATAAGATACTCCCTATTTTACACTGTATATCATAGAGCTGACACAAATATTCCTATCTTTCTTGAAGTATTATTTGAATTTCACTAGACCTCTCAGGATTATCTTTTATATTCCTTGATTTGTGAGAGAGCTCTGAATATATTATGGATATCCCGCATTTTTCACAATTTTTCTGGCCCTTCTACAGCCTGCAATCAATTCCAGATACCAATGATGTAATGGCTCTGCAGATCGGGTGAACCTGCAGAGAGCCTATGTCATAGAAGGCAGGAGCCAATCAGAGTCCAGGAATCCAAACTGACGCGGCCCGCACCTCAGCCACTGACTACAAGCCACTACGATAGTCAATTCCCACGATAAGCAATAAAAGTAAAACTGCCATGCAGACTAGGACAAGACAAACAATCGATAAATTCACAAAAATATTGTTGTAGACCTGTATAGCATACACCCCAGACTAAAAAAATAAAAAAGAGAGATAAGATGAGGAATCAAACCCGCAAATGAGCAAACAATGGTCCCAGAGACTACAGAAATGCGCCAAAAGTGGTTTTGTAGTCTCACATACAGCCGGACTTCCAATCAGAGTGTCAAGAATGTAGTCTGCAATACAAAACATAACTCCCACGACTTCTCGGCACAAACGGTTCTCACGGGGTACAACGTTCGGCACACAGGCATATTTTGCGTGTAAGGACTTGACCTTCATACCTCAGGACTCGTAATCCCGGATAAACCGAGGCTCGCTGGACAGAGAGTCGATATCTTGATGATCGACGAAGACGAACAAGGGCGACGATAAACCCTCACAAGGGACTCGAAGGCAGCAAGTTAAAGTCATCTAAGCAACATAACCCATGAATGAGAATATTTGAAAGACAATAATTAAATGAACACACCGTCACAAACATATACCACACAATACACAAGAACCGGATGCTTGTCAACGGCACAGATCCAGTAAATGTCAGAACTATAGACTTAGAGGAAATCGAGCAAGAGTCGCAACAACCAATCAGAAGACAGAAGCACGAACCAACGCGGCGCCACCAACTACAAACCGCCACTGTAGTCAGTTCCCACGATAACAAGCCACAATCGTCAGAGCCCATGTACCAGAACGTCATACGATCACAATAAAATGACACAAATATTCACACAAGCCGATAGAGCACATTTATTCTTTCGTTGAAAAAACCAGCGAGAACGGTAAAAATATCAAAGAGAAAATATCGAAAAAGTGTCAGATGACACTACAAAATGGTGTTTGTAGTCAGGTTGTAGTCTCCAATACTAGCGGGGTTTCCATCGGAGAATCAAATATGTAGTGAACACTACAGAAAGTAAAGTCTCACGCATAGTCGGCACGGCGATTCCCACGGGTACAACGTTCGGCACGCGCTCACTTTTGCCGGTAAGAACTCTTCCTTCGTAAACTCAGGACTCGTAAACCACAGCTGTGTGGTGTCTCCAGGAGTCTCCATCTGGAGATGCCATCTCCATCCTGAGCCAGACAGAGATGACCATCTTGGGATGATGATGGGGCCTCTCTGTCACTCCGGGGCTCCGTGAGGCTCCATATGGCCGAGATGGAGATTACCCTTGGTCCTGATGTGCTCACTGCATAGCGAGGCAAGCTTCTCGAGATGGCGGGCAGCCTCTTGGAAGTCCCACCCGAACTGGGCCTGCAGCTCCTGTAAAGAAGTGATTGCCTGCTAAAAGAAGGCGACATTCTTCCTCAGGTGAATAACCACCAGACGGAGCTGACAACGGGTTCTGTTGATTGTACGCAGCAACAAAACTAGCTGCAGACATGTTTCCATCGTCCCAACCACCGTTGATTCCTGCGAGATCCGACATTGCGTCCATGTGAGCGCTCGACGAGGCTTGGGAACGAGAAGTCCTTGAGGCGCCGAAAATTATTAGACACAGGGAGCATGTCGGAAAGGAAGATTTATCAAAGTTTCCGGTCTCACTAAGCTTCAGAGAATAACAGAATAGTCTTTAGGCGCGTTTGCCTGTACGATACGCTTGTGTACAAGGCAATCGCAGTAGGGTACCAGTACACTACGGGAGCGGTTATACACTACTGACTATACAGCTTTAATGTAAGTTATCCTCACGGAGCATGCGCACGCTTGCTACGAAGTCACCACTTCCGACAAGATTGGCTTCTTCAAACTGTAATGGTCAGTCCGAGAAGACCGATCGGAACGCCTAAGATCAAGAGAAGAGCGAAAACGAGTGTATAGGACGCCGTTACTGGCGTTGACGAAGCAAGGTACAAGTGACTACAGCGACGCGTAGGTATACGGGTACGTTACATAAGCAGATAGAATGCCCATGACCATTACAGCTGCACAGTTTATGATAGATAATGGCTTTGTACACATCATGGAGCAAGATTCACAAATGTGTTATCACTCTTTCCGGAATGGCAGGACTACTTTACATATCGCTCACATCGAACTTGGGTCAACCTAAAATCTACTGCATCGAGAGAGGATAGAGTAATTCATTCAAACTCCCTCAACCTGCTTCACAGCCTGCTCCAGAGCCTCTTTGACCTCCTCCTTTGTAGCGTCCTTCTTGACGTACACGACTGCCATCACCGCGTGGGTGCCGCCATTGGCCTCCCTCCACCTTTTAATGATGGAGGGGATACCGTCCCCAGCATTCGGCTGCATCTGAAACTTATGATAATCGACATCATCCCTAGTCACTTCGCCGTCGTAGTCGAAGCGGACGCCGAGACGTTGCACGTCAGCCGCTTTCTTAGGGAAAGCTGTCTTTCCCCGAGCGACACTGGGGTTAGCCAGCTTCTGCCACCCGTTACCTTCCAGAGCGCTGGCAATCATATTCTTCGTATATTTCTGCATCTTATCTTATCTGTGGAAAGTGTTAGCAAAGGCTGTTTTGAGATTGATTAAGAGGCATGGATACCTACTGCAGGGCGAGGGTGCACTTTTTCACGGTAGATAGTACAGCAACGACCTAGGTGCCTTTGATTATCAACATTATCTCCTCACTAGTACCGAATTGTGAATACATACGGTGGGAAGGTCAAGTGCTCGTAGAGGGGGAACTGCATCTCCCTCTCGGAGGAGGGACCTTATATACCTGAGCGGAAGAGCCATCGATCAGTGGTGGGCTACATACGGGAGCAAACAATAGAGTATCTGGACGCCAGGGATAGCGGGAAGCCCGCTCCGAGATGACCGCGAGACATCTTCGTGACTGGATCAAGAGTACTAATGTATGCCAGTGGAGTATCTGAGAGCATCGGACAGCTCGGGGTAGCCGGGCAAGCTTGAAGATGGTGCTCTCATCAGCTGCTTGTAACGCCAGCCAGCATGAAATGTATGCAATTGGTAAATCGATGGAACACATACCGGGAACGCCGAGATGATTGGATTTCTCAGGAAGTCCTTCCGAATCATCTGTGATGGTAAATATTGACAAGAACCACATCTCGTGGTTCGCCCAGGTATTTCTTCGATATTGACGCAAGAATCGTATGCATTGCACTGGTGATATCATCTGCATTTCAGTCCGCCCATAATCAAGTATCACTTCAGCGGCGGGAGGCCGAACTAACTGTGCTCGAGTACCATATACATCTCGCTCGCCTGGAGACTTGAATTATCTCAAATCGGGAGTGACTACAAATCTAGGCGGCTTGTTCGGGCGCGGTCCTCGCAACCGCCGTGCCCGTTACATCACTGACTGACTGGACACAGCCGAAGGTCAGCGGAGCTGTACTGACATTCATTAACCAATAGGAAGCTTGTAAATACTGTATCAAGACCTGACTAGGACTTCTCACATCAGGAAACACGCGGAAGCCAGCATAGGTCAATGTAGGTTACAGAGGGCAGAGTGGTCTTTTGGTTTCCCCCCCTCCCCATAGGTCACTATAAACTGCAACGATATATGAGAGGTCTTATATGGCTCGAAGGTAGAGGCAAATAGGTCATATAGTCGCATAGATGTTGGAGTATAGGCTGCATAGTCATGCATAGTTCGGTCATAGAAGGGTTCAATCATATAACATTCATATAACAAATCGGTCTCTAGCAATAATCTACCGGACACTTCATTCGCTGTCATATTCTACCCCGTGCAGCTCCCACTCCCTCCTCGCCGCTGCGTAGTCATCGTTGACAAGTAGGCGTGCATCACCTTCATTTGTCTCCGGTACCTTCGCGCAACTCCTACGAAAGAAGCTCAGCAAATCAAGTGCACCTCAAAGCAAGATAATGACTCACTGTGCACGTTTCAGCAAGTTTACTCGGATCCTGGCGACAACATCTAGATCTTTGGTCTTGGAGTCGAAGGTCTCAAGGGCGGTAAGCTGCGCATCGAACTTCTGAGCATAGGCCGATTCGGTAAATTGGATGTCCGTGCGTTGACCGGTTATCCATTCGTCGAGAGCACATTGAACCTATGCAACCAGTTAGTGCAGGCCACAGGCAAAAAGTCGGGACTTACCGCCGTCAGCACCAGGGCTATAGTCATGAGCGGTATCCCTTTGCGCGCGCACTCTCCACGTCGCTCCATGGTGACCATGGACTCGAAGTACTCCGCGTACATGATTCCTTCATCTGTACGGTTCGCATACCATGTTTCATTAATCACTGACTGAATGATAGGGTGCACCCTCCCGTGTCGCCGGATCCTACAAATTTTGTAAGCATTTTCATTGTAGCAGAGGTCTCCTTACCTTGAAAATGAATGAATTGCCCTGCAATAGCACTGCCACTTTGTCGCGCGTCTCTCGTGGATCCGCCTTCTGAGTGGCATCGTACAACTTGTAAAGGACCGGCACAAGGGTGCGGCACTTGCTCTTGACTTCGCCACGCAACTGTGACCCCCGTGCAGTTATCTAGATGTAGTTAGATCGTCTAGAGCTGAGAAGATACTGTAAGATGCACCAATGTACTGAGGCCGTCTGTCAATGCCACAGACACATTCTTGCCTGAGCAAGCCTTCGCCCAGGCATCCTTGGCATACGTTGTCGCCTCTGTGAGGTCCGGGTATGGCCAGTCTGTAGCTATAAGGCTCCGATAATGGCGCTGAGCGACAACAAGGAGCGACTGCTCAAGCATAGAGAAATCGCCGGCAGTCAAGCGGCCACGAGAACCGCTGCCTGACATCGTCATCTTCTGCTTCTTCACTACATGTGTTGTCTCGATGGCGA